TGAAAAAACGCACAGAAATATCTAATTTCAAAAGGTTCTTACTTACAAATTAACTTAAAAATTGTACTATTTCAAGAATAAATCCAAATAAAGTTGATATTTTTTATTAGATACATTGAATAGAAAATATATTTAAACCAGAATTCTAGTTAAGCATCACCACAATCAAAATGTTCAATATTTTACTGTAATCGATAAATAAAAACTGCAAAAGATTACAGAAAAGGTTAATCAACGATATACCATTTTTTGGGAAACCTTCAGCAAGCGTAAGTTCATAAAATCCATTTTATGAGAAGTTAATCAAATTCGACCAGTGGAACGCATCAGAATTGCTGAATGAAATTTTAAAAATCTCTTCTTTGGTGGCTTGCTACTTCTGAAACAAAAAATATTTTTGTGCTGTTAGTTTTTTAATACAAAATTTTGTATTTCGGCCAACTGTTGATTTATTCTCTGGATCATGTTGAAGATATACAATTGTTGGTTATGGAAATTCATAACCATTTTAATTTCGAACCAACTAAGTGTATATATTCCAATTACAAATGTTTTAAGACTGTGCAGTTTATCATAAAGTTCTGGTGGATTGGTACCTTTGGTCTATAAACACATTAACTCAATGGCTAAAGTTAGCCATCTTGCTTGATTTAGAGATTCAATTTTACAAGCAGCAAATCTAAGATTCAATTTCTCTTTAGAAATTCTCACTGTATATTCTAAGAGCTATCTCTGGACACCTCTTAAATATCCCATTGCTCCTAAAGGAAGATATAAATTATCCAGAGGACTATTTATAGTGTTAAATTCTATCTGGGGCAAATCCTGGTAATTATTTCTGAAAATATTCCCTAGAGGACCATTAAAAGTACTAGTGCTTCTTGTAGTTCCATCAATGTACTCAAAAAATATCTTTAAAACGAGGTTCATTTTGGGGAAATGAACAGCCAATAGGATGCAACTTTCTTTAAATTTTTTTTTTCTCCAGCGCTGTAACAAAACCTGCTTCGCAATAAATGTTTGTAAATGGTTGAAAATAGCCACAAGAATTGCTTTAATGTAATTCATGCTGTTAAATTCTAAAACAAAAGCAACATCCTATGTTAGAACAACACCAGCTGCAATGAAGGTAAGCATAACTCTTTAGGCGAGATATCTACTATCCGTGTCAAGTGATGATGATCAAGTTGCGCTTTCTTCTTTGATTTTTTAAATTTGTTTTGCCATTTTCTTCTATAATATCTTATATTTCAATGAGTCCTTATTAATTCTGCATGTAACACTAGTGCAGAAGATATTTTCATGGTTTTGAACATGCTTTTATGAATATGCTTCTGATGAGTGATTACTTTTACTCTTGCCTTTTTCCTATTTTTGTATTTAGTATCAATGATAATGTCCTTAAAGTTTAGGTTTGCATAAAGAAACCTTATATATTTCAAGTCTAATAAAAAGGCATTAGCAAGCTATACCCCAAGATTGGAAGGTACAGCACTCTCAATAAGTGGCATGGCATATCTAGGAACTTAAAAAAAAAACTGTATGGTCACATAGACTGCCTCACTGGCTCAAAACTGTCATCGATTATTTCTACACAAATATCCGATATAGATACACGTGTAGAATCCTGTTGTTTCTTTCTTTCAATATGCTTGTCTGATCTCTCTGCTTCAGTTGCAATCTTTTTTTTTTTTTTTTTTTTTGTATATTTGCCGACATCTTTGACAATACTTCCAATTTGGAAACTGACTTTTGGTCCTGTTTTGTAACCTCAAATTTCAAAATGTGCCTTGGTGTAAAAACAGATTCGGTACACATGATAAATATGAAGGAAATATCACAATATTATTTGCCAGAGAAAGGAATATTATCAGAGAAAGATTTATATTTTGCAATTAATTTAAATTTTGAAAATTAGCTGATGAACAAGTTCAAATTAAACAAAGAAAAGAACAAGCATAGAATTAACATTAACTTGTGAACAAGACAAGTGTAAGCATTTTGTTATATTTTAACAGAATTTCAACGGTTAATTTGAAATATTAAGTCTGCTGTATAAACATACACAATTACTAATTAATCTTACACTGACAATTGAATAATGATCGAAATTTCAGTATCGAGTGTAATAAAAATAATGGCAAAGGTTTATAACGGTGAAAATTTAAAGAAATATATTTATTTTATTAGAGTTGATTAAAATGAATAAATTTCTTCTTTTTATGAGGTTTTATTGTGTTTTTTTTTTCCAACGAAAACTAAATCTAAATTCCATCAGAGCTAAAGAGGAACCAATTTTCATCGCTGGCCACAACCTGTAAGCATTGTATTTAATCTCCATTTTGCCGTTATCTATAAACGGCAGAATGTGTGTGTGTGTTTGTGTGTGTGTGTGTGTGTGTGTGTGTGTGTGTGTGTGTGTGTGTGTGTGTGTGTGTGTGTGTGACGAATACACGGCCGCAATTTTCGACGGATTTGCACCAAAATTTACATGTACATGCTCCAAGGCTAAGACTGACTTTGCATTTCCCAACTCCCATCGATAGTGGAAATAATCGATTTTTTCATGCTTCTACGGCAGTTTTCATGTAGTTTGCGGCTATTTTCTACGGGCCAGAGTGAGAGCCTATAGCTGGCTGCCACGAATAAGCAGGAAGATTCTATTGCCAACAGCTGACTGGCACGAATGTTAACTAGCATGCTAGCATGCAAAAAAAAATCGATAGCTGCATTCGTCACAAGTGGGAAAAATTTAAATATGCATGGCACTTTACTCCAATTGGCTCATTCACTTGCTTAAACTCAACGTTGATTCTGCTTCCGCAGAATTGGGTTTGGTGTGAAAAAGTATTTGTTGTTAATATTCTCTTTTCATTCGGTTTTTCCAGTTACGAGACCTTTTTTCGTTGTTCGTTTTGTGTTCATTTTGTTTAGTTCTTTTTTCTTAATAGATTTAATGTTTAGTATAGAGCTTAGAAAAAATTTGCAGTGTGAGATAGGCAAGAAGTAAGGCATGTAGCAACATCAGCACGGCAAAGGGCACTCCTTTAAAGGCAAGGAAGGGCAAAAATATTCTAAGTCAAGTGATAGCGATTGCTGTATGAGTCGTACGATTTTTGAATCAAGCACGGGCAACATAAATGACATTAACACACTTGTTTTCCATAAGTGTACGGGATTCTTTACATCGTTAAATCCCACTGATCAGCGGAATGAAATTCCAACACTCCAATTTTGAATCTAAACTCAATATTTAAATCTATTTCCTCAGAAAACGGTAAAGAATTGGGAAAAATATTTTGTAAGATTATTTATCATGTCAAACCCCAACTCTCAAATTGAGTGCAATAGAACGTAAAAAAATCGACCTGCCCTAATGGACATTTGAATCGCGAGCGCTAATTTTCCTGTCTGAATAACAAAAAAGATTAACTTTAATGGACAGCACTTTGAAGTCGTTTTTGACTACAACACTCCAGTATAATGTACATTTTTATTATCTTTTTTTTAAAAATATTTTCTGGCTATATTCTGGCTTGATAAGCCGTAGAAAACGAATCAATCCATCAATTTGTTTTCCTGTGTTCATTATATTTTTTTATCATATTATCAAAATATTTTGACAAGATGCACCACAATATAAGACAAATGATGATGGCACAAAGTGAAATACCAAATGAATTCTTATTCTAGTAGCTTTATTTACGGTATACAGTATACAGTATTATCAATAGGAAGCGACAAAAATTGAGGAGCCTTATAAAAGCATATACCACTATTCACGGATAAATTATACACAAAGTATTACAGTACATTCTGCAGAAAGAAACTATTTACTATTCGCCGAAGAAGATGCGCTTGCTCCTTTGGTTTTCTTAATTTTTTCGCTATTTTCCTCTACAATTTCTTTGTATTGCAAAGATTATTTATCAATTCTGCAATTAACACTAATACAGACGATACATTTTATGGCTTTGAACATGCTTCTGACGTGTGATTATTTTTATTCTTGCCATTTTTCTTGTCTATTTTTGACTTATCAGTGATAATGTCCTTAAAGTTCAGGCCGGGATAAAGAAGCCTTATGTATTTTAAGTTTAATAAAAAGGCAATAGCAAGCCATACCCTAAGCTTGGAAGGTACATAACCCTTAATAAGTGTCATGACATATCTACGAGTTTCTTTTACTGAAAATTTATTAACTATACAAGAAAAAATTATTTCAAGGTGATGCTGAGTATTGCAATATTTGACTACGGCAGGTCTACTAGCATTGCTCAGAGGCTGGGCGCACATTGTATACGAGCTATATGAAAAAATAAGGTTTTTCGAAAAAAGATCGTAGATTCGCACTATGCGTAAATAGTTTTATACATGAATATATACGGTATATGAAAATATAAATGTAGGAGACACGGTGGAGTAATGCATAGCGGCTCGGATTGAAGAATCGGCGAGCAGAGATCGAATTCAAGTTGAATCCATTACATTCACTTACGTGCTAATAACTTTGGGAAATATATGAATCTTCTTCTTCTCCTCCCAGTGATGGGTAAATAGGGTTCTGTCGCCTTGGATGGCAACTGGTCTACCACAAAAAGAAATGGCAACCTACTGCAAGAAAATAATCTGCCTCGTCAGTCATGTATCACAAGATTCATGATCGCCTAAGCGTGTAACACGCATGGCAGATAATTGGCTGACTAAAAATAAAGTCTTTTAAATGGAAAAAAATTTAAACACTGGATACCGAACGAATGTTGACAATTTAAATATTTACTGAGTTTATAAGTTTTATCACTACATATTAAGCATTTAACATTTATGTATAGATATTTTTTTCTTTTAGGACCAGGCGCTATCTTAATTCGGCTCCGCTTATTATTAAATAAATTATTTTATTCTGCTTGAGAAGTGAGGATTGACGGTGGTAGTAGTATTCGAGGCACCAGTCCATGTACTCGACTGTTGGGGCATTTTACGATAGAAAATGAAAGCTTATGATATCCGCAATATCTTTGTGGTATCGATGTCTATTAGCAGATTTTTTTTCCTCGGGCGTTAAGGAGAAGACGGAAGGTCGTGAGGCGCGAAAATCTTTCCCAGCTATCGGACTGGTTAGACACTTAAGAAATGAGAACGAAAACTTATTTCAAGCGAGGATAAAGGGTTCTTCTGCTAAACACTCACTCTAGTACTTGTTAACTCCGCGATACCTCAGCCCTCAACGCGATTCTGTCGGCTATGATGGTGGCCTCGTTGCGAGCGCTCTCCAATCGGCAACAATGACGATTCCCGTTAACCATAACACTCTGTTGGGCAGCAGGCACCACTTTTCCTTTTGAATGGCATCGATTCATTGCCAATCGCCCGCAGACTCCATTAAAAGAGTTCTAGCACCGTAGGCAAGCAACCAGCCGTGTGTTAGACTAATGTGAGAGATTTACCGCCTGGCTTTTACACAACTAGGGCTTCTTGCATTCAACTTTGTCCTTATCTATGATGACACTTCCTGTAAATCTTCACATTACACTTTCATTTTCTAGCAGCTTCTTCCATTTTACTTGCTTCCCGCTTCATTTTTCATTGCAAAGTTTCTTTCGTTCTTTTAATGTTACTTCTTTTTCTCATCTCTTCTTTCTTTCTTTCTTTCTTTCTTTCTTTCTTTCTTTCTTTCAAGGTTACCTCTTTCTCTCCTCCTCCATCTCTTCTACTAATGTTGCTTCTTTCTCTCATACACTTCTTCGTCTTCTTTTTTTCATTTTTTTTTAATTTTGCTTCTTTTTTTTCATTGTATTCCACTTTGTCTCATTCTTTTTTTATCCTTCTTCTTCTTCTTCTTCTTCTTCTTCTTCTTCTTCTTCTAATGTTGCTCCTTTCTTTCATCCTCTTCTTTCTTTCTTTCAATTTTACCGCTTTTTCTTCTCCTTCTAATGTTGCCCCTTTCTTTCTTTTTCTTTTTTCTTCTTTTAATGTTGCTTATTCCTTCTCATCCACTTTTCATTATTTCTTTCTTTCCTTCTTTCATCTTTCAATGCTGCCACTTTCTCTCATCCTTACGTTGTTCTTCTTCTTCTTATTATTATTATTATTATTCTATTACTACTACCACTACTACTCAATCGCATGTAATCAGCACGATGAATATTGTCACACCATGTTTGTTAGTGTTATCAATCTAGATCATTATCATCAGCAGTACGTAAAGTACGTCCTGCAATTATTCTTTGTCGAACTGCATTTAATCTGTTGCTAGTTCCTCCGCTTTATTAAATTTCCTCTAATTTTCCTATTCTCTATCTTATTGTCAACATTTAAATGCTGCTATCATTCTTCTTCTTTTTTCTTTTTCTTTCTTTCTTTTTCTTTCTTTCTTCTTTAATGTCGCGTTTTTCTCTCATTCCCCTTTTCTGTTTTTTTGTTTCTTTCTTTCTTTCGTTTAATATTGCCACTACTTCTTTTTCTTCTTCTTCTTTTAATATTGGGACTTTCCCTTTTCTCCTTTTAATCATGCCTCTTTCTTTCACTCATCCATTTCCTTCCTTCATTTCATTCCTGATCATTATTATCCTGAAACAAATGTCAATGCAATTCTTACAATCCAAAATATGTTTTGGAATAAAATAAATCACAAAGGGTTGATAAGCCTTAATAAAACAAAACAATCAAAACTTTCTTCCATCCCCTTTTCATTCCTCTTACTTATTTTTCATTGTTTCCTTCTTTCTTTTTTTCTTTCTTGCCACTTTGTCTTATACCCTTCTTCTTCATCTTCTTCTTCTTCTTCTTCTTCTTTTGTTCTTTCTTTTTCTATATTTCTTTCTTTCTTCTTTTAATGTTCTCTATGTGTCCGATACATCTTTTTTCTTCTGCTTCTTTTTCTTTCATTCATTCTTTCTTTCTTTTTTCCTTCTTTCTTTTTTCTTTCTTTTTTGTTTGTTTGTTTCTTTCTTTCTTTCAAATGTTGTCACGTTCTCTTATCCACTTCTTTCTTTCTTTCTTCTTTCTTTCGTTTTTCATGTTGCTACTTTCTTTCGTTGTCAACACTGTCATCATCTTCCTTTTCTTTTAATGTTGTTTTCTTTCATCATCTTCTTTTCGTCTTTTATTCTGTTTTTCTCTTCTTTTTTTTAAACTTGACTCTCTATGTCATCTTCTTCTATTATTATTGTTATGACTACAAATAACGGCTATAGTTGTTCCTACTGTTTACAGTGTTCTTTTATTATTATTGCTTTGTTTCGACAATTAATCACCTTAGCAAGGCACAAGACCAAATAAGTAACAAGAAGCTTAAAAGCTATTTACTTTAAAACTCATAATTTAACATCCTGCTTTTTACGACGGCTTGAATTCCAACCGCTGAATGTTACTTACCAAACAGACCCAAATACTTTGTTGTTTCAACAAACTGATGTTTTTTTTTTATTTTCTATTCTATCTTTAGTTTCAAGCTTCGATTTCATGTTCTTTTATTTTCTATTATTATTTCTCGTTGTTTACCATGTCCTTTTTTTCTTATGATTTTTATTCGTTCTGATCTCCATTTTTTATTCGATTTCCTCCTTCTTTTCAACTTACTCTCGATTTCTCCTTACATCATTTTTTTTATTATTATTGACACTCCCTTCTGTTAAAATAATATTTTGTTATTTTTCCTTCTTTTCTTTTTGTCTTCGCTTTTATTTGACATTGTCTTTGCTCTCTTATTTTATTGTCTTTTGCTGAAACTCTTTCATTATTATTACGCTAATAATTACCTCTGTTATTTATTCATTCACTTTCCTTCTTGCTTCTTCCTTCTAAAGTTTTCCTTTTACAATTTTTGACATTAAATTAACTGTTATTATTATTATTATTATTATTATTACCATCATCATCGTCATCATTATTTATTGACCTTTTTATTTATATTCATTCATGTTTTAACTGTTCTCTGCACATCGCAGGCTTTTATACATTACCCATCATTCTTTCTTTTTCCATCACTTTTTATTCTGTACCTTTTTTTCGTATTATCGTTAACTTTCCGATATCTAACGTTATCTTTTTCATTCGACGTTCTTCTTCTTCTTCTTCTTCTTCTTCTTCTTCTTCTTCTTCTTCTTCTTCTTCTTCTTGCTCCTCCTCCTCCCTTTATCTTCTTCGTCTTCTCTATCTGTGCTTACAATTCCTGACGTGACCTTCTTACCTCATCTTCTTCCCTTTTCCCACTCTTTTCTCCCCTTCCAGTCGACTTAACAAACGATGACGACCGCACAGCATGGCCCATCGGTGCGAATTAATTAGCCTTAATCCCTAGTAACTCGTCATAATGTCTTCCCAGTCTTTCGGCCACTTCGCCATAACTGTCAAGTACTGGTTTTATTTCTCGAGCCATTTAACACTTCATTTTCAAAATACGCTCCTTTACCCCCTCTCTTACACCATCTCTCTCTTTCTCCCTCTCTCCTCTTTCTTCCCCCGTCTCTCTCTCTACCTATGATATAACTGCTGTCCTTCTCATTTACAGGCGCTCTCAATTTGTATCTCATTCATTCACACTTATTCTTTCATTTTCTCTTTCCCTTTCTCTCTTTTTAGTTTTTTTTGTCTGTTTTGGTCGCCATTTCATTCGCGCCCCACTCTTCTTTTTTTTAATTTTCTTTTCTCATTTACTCATTCAAACACATTATCAACTGAACGATTTGTACAAAAGCACGTCCACACATACTGAAACAAGTACATACACACGTACAAGAATTTTATATATAAGCACACACATATAAAACATACTTTAAAAATAGAGATATACACACCAGTACGCACGCAAACACCCACATATTCATATATACATATAGGGATGCACGCTAGGTATGCACCAAAAATATACCATATTTAGCAACACGTAATTGTTTTACGGATTCTTCTTCTTCTTTGACGACATGCCTCTTCCGGACGTTGGTGATCATAGCTCTCCACAACTTCCTGCCCTTTGTAGTTCTTGGTTAATTTTGTCTTTTTGTTATATCTCCTGTTTTGTAACCTTTTATACTAGCTAATTAGCTATGTTATGCACTGCTTTCCTCTGTCACTCTTGCCTTCAGTCTATCCCGTGAGTGTCAAGTTTTCCAAGCCTTCTTTCCTCATTATATTGCATTATTAGCATCCTTCTGTAGAACCACATTTCTGTTTTCTTAAGTCTCTTCTTCATGTGTGATGGGATGGTACAGCATTCACTCGTATATAAGAGAACCGATATTGTATAACAGTTCAGTATTCTCTCCTTTTTCCAATGTATTTATCCAGATATTTATTTAAAAGAAAATGATGGCATTTTAGGGACAGTTTGTAGAGCCTCACCATATATATATATATATATATATATATATATATATATATATATATATATATTCAAGAAAGACATTCGGATTACTAGCACAAAACAGAGAATGTCTCATATCGAGAATATTTAACATTGAAAAAACATAAGGAAAAAATTAATTATTTTTTAATAATATGTGTAAATCTCCGCCTTTTACCTGAAGACGCACGCGAGACCAGAAACACGTGTAGTAAAATTATGGAAAATAAAATATAATATTTAAAAAAAATCCACATTACACCTCTCTTCTCTTTCTTTTTAATATATATATATATATATATATATATATATATATATATATATATATATATATATATAGTTAAACAAAATTAGATACCGAAATCTATTTTTTAAATTAAATGTTCATGTTAATTTTTTTTTTTCTTTTTTCTTTTCTTTTCTTTTCTTTATACATGTATTGACCATTTTTAAAACTACTACAATAACTTTTTTGTAATTTTATATATATATATATATATATATATATATATATATATATATATATGCTGTCTTAGGATGCATATATCATTAATTTCGCTCAACAAATACTTGTTTTCAACATAATCTCTATCTTTGACAAACCACCCACCGCCTTTTCATTAATCATATTGAAAAACACGATATTTTGAACATTTCATAACAATGCGGATCCCATAAATATATATATATATATATATATATATATATATATATATATATATATATATGTTAGGGGGGGTCTGTCCCCAAAGTCATTGGACAAATCGAAAAATTTATTAAAATTACAACGGAAACTGAATACTGTGGTAATGTTTACATGATATGAAGTAAATAGTGAAGTTTATATACAAATAGTTAATAAATTTCTATATATTTGTCATTGTACAAAGGACATGTAAACGATATTCAGTTTCTGTGCGTGTATTTTCTTAATTGTGGTCGAAAACATTCAAACGACATTATTTGTGATCTGAAACATAAAAAGTAACTATTTATATAATTAAAATAACATGAATTAATATGCAACAAATTTTTCTAAGATTTGAAATTTTCTATTATTATTATTATATTATAAAGATATTGTGGACACACTGTATGCATAAATATGTGTATATGTGTGTCTATGATTCTGTCTTGAATCTTGAGTAATACAGAAAAATTTCTGTACGACCCAAGGGTTATTTGGCACAGTTTACAGAACGAGGTTCATGCCTGAGAGTTGGACTGATTGCCGATATAACGCAGGATATTTGTTTACTATCAGTTGTGACCGTCCAGGACGTGGGCGATCATAACTGTTCCCAACTTAAAGTACTTACTAGCTATTAGCAATACTAGTCTTTTTATTATCCTCCCTGTCTCTGTTATGCCATCGCATTTACGGAAATCCACTGTTTCCCTCTCTCCATATTGCCATCAGTATGACCTGTAAATTTCCTGCCTTCGTTCCTCATTATGTGTCTTTGATATTTTAAATGCCATTTTTGTTTCTATTCTCTTTAAAACTACCTCGTTGCTCACATTTTATGCCAATGGCATTCTCAGTGTCCTTCTGTAGAACCACATTTCTCTTGCCTCATGTCTTCTCTTCAGCTATAAAGAAATTGCCCTGCATTCACTGCCATATAGGAAGACTGCTATTACATTGCATTTGATTACTATTTTCTTCGTTCCTAATGAAATTTTATTTTTTATACTTCGCTTAGCTTTTCCTATTTCAATACGCCTTCGGATCTCAGAGTCGCATTTTTTGTCCTCTGGATACAATTTTATGAATACAAAAATGATTTTATCGCTAAATTATAAAAGAAAATAATTTCGAAGACAACAAGCAATAATTTTCTAATCTATCTCACTGGAGCTGAAAGTTAAAACAAATAATCCAGCACAGTTTAATATAATTACCCACAAAAAAGTGTGTCAAAAAGAGAGTTTTTTCCCCCTTGACACCACTATTACGGTGTTCAGTGTAACCCGGATATAAGAGAGTTCTCGGGACCGGAGAATAAGTCTCTTATATCCGAGTTTGGTCTATTTTATATACATTAACACATGCTCTAATTTGGGACCAGAGAAAATCTCTCTTATATCCGGGTTTCTCTTATATCCGGGTCTCTTATATCCGGGTTAGACTGTATTTATCTAGCAATTGCTATTATTTGAAAAAGCTATTTTTTAGAATGTTAATATAACTCAAACATATGAAACTGAATTCATACATTCTCTTTTTCTAGAGAATTAACAACAAAATATATTAAAATCTATTTATCTTATTAGATTGATTATTTACAAGAATAATTTCATATTTACAAGTTCATAAAAATACGTTTACCAACAACAAGGTGACGCATAATAAACAGGAAATTTGGTTTATTTAATTGTTTGAATTGTTGTTACAGTTATTTGAAACAAAAACAAAATATAGATATTTAGTAGCTTAAAACAGAACAAAAACACAATTGTTAGTTGTGGAATTCAAACTAAAGAACTCTGGTAATCTTTTTCAGTCCCCAAGTTGGATTTTTTTTTAAAGAGAATAATCACTTTGCGTTGAAAATTTAATAACTGCTGCATCCTGGAACGAAAAATGGTTAAAAAAAAATTTATATCATTTTTTAGTTCATTCATATAGTAAAATACATAGTTAATTTTTATATGTTAGTTCATTCCTTTTTTCATCATGTAGTAACTCTAAAATTCCATGTGTTTTGTGGGGCACCCTCTACATTGAAATATTTATTGTTTACAATATTGTTTTAATCTAGCTCATCCTATGCAAGGCAATAAAGCCAATGAAACACAGGAGTGTGCGGAAGAAATATTGCTTAGGAGCGAAAACAAAAGAAGAGTAATGAAGAGGATGGAAGATAGCGATTGATGTTGCATTTAAATTTTTGAAGATTAAAGTTTGCTAGAAACAAGGAGTTCCACAAGAAAGAAATGCGAGAAAAGAAGCTGTTAGCATAGAATTTCGCTAACTCAATGGTAAATTGGTGAGACCTCATCGCCAGTCTAGTGCTTCGATTAAATTTATAGAGTCTAGGCACCATAGCGCAGAGCGATATTTATTCTGCTATGTAAAGAAATGTGTCCCAAGGCCGAAATGAGGAATGAGAAAAATGGCGGTCTTCTTCTGTCTTAACGTTGAACTTAGCTCGCCACAAACACTGACCCAAACATATAAACAACAACAAACAATATTCCTTGCACCAAAACAAAGCATTCTTACTTAAGTTTCTTACCACAACCCTCATAATACCTCCTTGTCTCCATACCGAAGCGCTCATCCGGACAATTACCATGAAAGTATTTATCGGGAAAGGCAACGGAAGCAACTTTACGGTTGTGGGTAACTGACTATATATGAATATATTTTGGATTTTATCAAGGAGCTCTAGATAAATAGCAAGAAAATAGGACCATATTTTCTATGCAGTGAAAGAAATAACTATAAAAATATTGTTATATTCATAATTTTTATAAAAATATCTGTGAACAAAAAAACAAGAAAATTTGAATAAACACATAAAGATGAATAGTATATATATATATCTATATTTATATCTATCTATCTATCTATCTATCTATCTATATATATCTATATATATATATATATATATATATATATATATATATATATATAAAAAATAATACATTTCCAGGGCATTATTTTCATTCGCTCTCGCCAAATAAATTCTCTAAAATTCGTTGGGGAACACTTGGAGTTATTTGTCTGAGGAATTGACAACGAAAATTTTAAACCTATTTATTTATTAGACTATTTAAATACAAGAATATTGTTTGATATTTTTCTGATACTTTTCGTAACAATTCTCAAGAAAAAAAATCGTTTTGAGAAAAATAAAAATGGCCGAATGGATTACAGTAATGAGACGGTCAAAAGAAAAACCGTCCCTTTGACACAACGATTTTTGGCGCGTAATATAAGTTTACTTGAGGAAACGCTCTGACATAAAAAAATCGTCATCACAAAATAGAACCAGAATAAGGTTCGAGTTTTCAGCGAAGGGTCTCCGTTTTATTCAAACATTCCTCTATTTTTCAAAAAGGTAGAAATAATGTCTACTGGCCGAGAGATTGTGATTCCTACTCAAGAAACTGTACCTCCCGACGATAATTATATCTCGATTACCTTCTACTATCAAGGAAAACAATTTTATGATAAGTGTGCGTTACCATTAGTAGAAACTATTATTGAAATGTCAGACTCAATGAGCCATAAGTGTGTGTGTGTATATATGCTTATGAAAATATCTTCATCGAAGAATGCGGTTATATTTACGTCTATTAGTGTAAAAACACATTAGCTTTCTCATTCTCTCTCTGTGCGTATTTATTTTGTCTCCTTTTAGACCACACACACACACACACACACACACACACACACATATATATATATATATATATGTGTGTGTGTGCGTGTGTGCAATGTGTGTGTGTGTGTGTGTGTGTGTGATTTTACTTTTATTTTATTTTTTCACACGTGTATAGAGTAGTTTTTAATACTACTGTTTCCTGGTCTGACATTAATCTTTTATGCATTACATATATATATATATATATATATATATATATATATATATATATATACCATCAAGAATTGCTTTAAAAAGATATATAATGAAAACATGCCCAAAATTTAATAAAATAACATTTTATCATCAAAATTTTTCTCATTATTAAGCTGAAAGATCAAAAGGTTGTTTTTTTTTTCATGTAATTTTTTTTTTTTTTTAACTTTGGAAATTTTGGTTAAAAAATATTAGCCCTTTCTGGCGACAAATCGGGACATTAACTTTGTACGGGAAATGTATACGGTTTCTTTTTCGATGAAGAACACACTGATTTGGAAATTGTTTTAAAAATGCAGATAACTCGTATTTTAATGAAATTTTCATGACACACTCAGAAATCAATGAATTTGTTTTTTTATATATTTCTTTTTTAGAAAGTCTTTGTAAATATTTTAAAAACTTTTTACCCTCCTCTTGTTTAATTTTTATGGAATTTGGCGAAATTCTTTTTTTGTATTGCATGTTTATATTTGTTAATAGTACAAACTAAAACATTTTTAATTAGAAAACATTTAAATTGCATTTATAAATAAAATCAATTATCGACAAAAAATTATCTTACAAAAATGTTGAACAATGAATGTTTACAAGAATTGAATACAAGTTTTTTTTTATTTAGAATAATTTATAAACTTTGAAATCTCTTAAAATTCTGTACCAATTTGTCACTTCCAAGTGATCATCTTATTAAATTAAAACTACATTTACTAATTATAAATGGAAAATCTCACTACAATTCAACGACCTCCTATATTTTATGTGTGTATGTGTGTATGCAAACATGTAAATAGGGACGGCCATACACGACAATATTCGAATATAAGACAGCTATTTATAATAAATTTAATGTTTATTAGTAATTTCTAATATTTTCTTTAAAAGCATCTACGTCAGTAAGACAGTAAAAGCCAAAGTACCTAAAAGTCAATAAATTAGTAGACTGCTTAACGTATTTTCATATATTTTTATGATTACTGGATAGTTAAGAATAAAAAAAACTATATAAAAAGCGTTCACGTTGTATTTGCCGAGTAATTTTTTTCAGTTTTGCCCCCCTTACATGAAATCCACAAATGTTTTCAAAATATCACTTAACACGTCCGAAAATTGGTTCTTGGTTAGGCTCGCTTTACAAAATCTGAAAAAATGACTAAATAAGAAAATTTCAGAGAAAAAGATTCTTGAGTCAATTGTATTGTGTGGGATGGGGCAAAATCTGGTGTGAACAATGAGGCCTAACCTGGATCAATCCCTTAATCCAGGGCTTAATCACCGTGTCCAGCACTTCGATGTAAGAGGTAGCCCTGATCTTAGGGATTTGCTTGAAGTGGGGCGGTATGTCAAAGACCTTGTTGCCCATGCCCCGTCCGATCATCACAAACGCGTTGAATTTTGTATGCATCATAGTGACTCCAAGTAGAGTTATTCATTTCTCCGGCCATGATGAAAGTTCACCTCAAATGTAAAGAATCAGGTCAAGCCGACCTCGTCGAGGTGCTTCAGTTTGTTCAACAATTACCTTTCCTGGTCTTGTACCGCCTCAGAAAGTATCTGATTCGTCCTACCATTCTCTGTCTTTACAAGAGCCAGATTAGACTCCAAATGGTTTACTGCTGCCATCTCTCGGTTGGAAATGTACAGTCCGCTTTGAGAGAGTTCAAAAGCATCTACGCAACCTTGTCGGGTGAGGACCTACCCATTTTGAACAGCTGAAACGTCACACGCCTCTCGCTACTTCCATGACAAAAACATATATGTATCTGACGAGCTGCAGTCCTTAATTCCACCAGTTATGACTTTCACTACAAAAACCCGCCATGCCACGTATACTGGAACGAATCATCACCATTCCTTTCAAATTTCTTTGATAAGAAGGGAGTTCCATTTGAACAGCTTCGTCCCAAGAACCGCAACTTTGTTAAAGCGTCTTCCGTGTGTATGTTTTGCAGATCACTACAGTCTTAACCTCTTCAAGTTTAGGATCAACCTTTATCATTCCTACATATCCTCATAACCCGCACTTCTCACCTGTTCTCCCTCTTACGTTCATTTCTGTGGCCAACCTTAAAAGGTGGCGTATTGCTAATAATAAATAGAATTGTTTATTTATTTATTATTTATTTATTATATTACAAGTTGATGGCTTTTAATCAAAATAAGTTACTGTATATACCTGAGTATAATAAGAGTCCTTAGGATGGGTTTTTCACGCAAAAATAAGGAGCCTCACTATACACAGGTAATTTAATTTTAAAGGAGTTAAAAATCATGTATTTTCGGTAACCGCACTATACATGAGGTCAACTTCGAGTAAATATGGAACAGTTATATATATATATATATATATATATATATATATATATATATAAATATATATATAGCTGTAGGGAGAGGATTCATACCTTTCCCAAGAGTATTAGCACGTAAGTGAATGTAATGGATTCAACTGGAATTCGAACTCGGCTCTGCGATTCCTCAATCCAAGCCGCTATCCATTACTCCACCGTGCCTCCTCTTCCTCTCCCTCCAGCTATGGGTAAAATAGCAGGACAGACTGGGTTCTATAGCCTTGGATGGCAACTGGTCTAGAAGAAGGACAACTCTGAATTCCAAACCTGCGGAGGGTCGTTTGAGAACTTTGTGGCATTCGGTGCACCAGGTCTCTTCAAAAAGTGTGGATGGTCCTGCAAAGGCCTTCACCACGATAATCAAATCTCATGTGCCGGTGTCGGACTGTCGGTTTCCTGAAACTGATCTGCTTGACCCTCATACGTCGAATCTCGACGGGAGAGTCGATTATATATATATATATATATATATATATATATATATATATATATATATATATATTATTATTATTATTATTTCTGAAAATAAATTCGAATTTATTTTCTTGCCTACCAAAGAGTGGAACATTCTTAAGCGCTTCAGTGATTATCTTCTGAAATTCCTCTAGGCGCATAGAAAAAAAGTGGGAGATATAAACCTGTCCTTTCACATATCCCCATAGAAAACGTTTCAGCTGTTGTACGCGACGGCCTTCTTCAGGTGGTTGGAATGTCGAACTGAACCTTTTATTTCGCTCACTGGGGTAGACTGTTTTAGTTCCACGTGCCATGTTTAATGGATGTCAGTTATCCGTTATCTTCCGTTAATTACCCTCTCCAAGTTCTCCACTGCTTTAAGGAGAGTCCGAATAATAGTGTACATAATACCTCATCTCAGAAATATAGGCAGATTCTCATTCATATAAGTTCGCACAGATGCTTGAGTATGTTACGCAAGGCATGGTACAACGTGTTTGGTAGGAGCTAGAATATCGATTTGACGTGAGTCGTGTAACAAGTGGTGCACTCATTGAACATTTGTGAAGCTTTGTGAAATCGGTTAGAAATCTACATTCCTCTGCATATCTTATTTGAATTTAGATAAATAACTATTTTATTCTTCAACATGAAGCCTGTTTAATTTCGTTTGCCTGGGACATGTAGTTACTCAGATATTCACATTTTAAATAGTGTCTATTTTTTAATTACATTTCTTTGGTTCTTTAGAGTATGCCTCTAGAATAAGATAGAATCGTATTAGGCTGTGACAATACTGGGGCTCGAAAAACTCTATCATAAATCGTTTAGACATATATGTAAACATTTAGCTAGTATTGGAATTGTTGATGGTGAAGTGAACAGAGCCGTATATCAACATTAGAGAGTGCCACAGTAGATTGGCAGTCAGTGTTTCTAACGTCAAACTCTAATCTTCAAACACGTTTTCACTCTTCTCTCACCGTTGTCGCCTCTGGCGGTCTGTTAACCGCGAAACAACTCCTATCAATCCACATTCCACTTTCTTTGTTGGTGCCTCTGGCTGGCTGTTGCTTCGGCATGCATTTCCACGCTAGCATAGACACTCGCTCACCAATGTGCGTGCATTCAGACATATACGCATGCGCACACGTTCTACATTTATTACAGAAAAAGAACGCTGTTCGTTTTTCTTTTCATTGTTTCTTCGTTTTGCCCCTGGCTGATTCTTGTTCGGTATGGTGTCAAACGTATATACGGACACAGTTACACGCTTTCAGAAGGAAAGCCAATATAGATATATACGCGTGCAATCAGATGCATACGCAAATTTACGCCGATCAAGTATCCAGAAAAATACGCACACTTTAGCTTTTCCTTTTCTTTTTTATCACTTCTGGCTATTTACGGATTGTTATTTCAACACGCATTTCTTTTCCGTTAGACACTTAGGCGCGCACCCACACGCAAAAACAAAAACTGTAGAAATGCAAGCAGATAATATGAGATAAACAAATAAAAAAAAACACATTTCAGCCCACGTTACTCTTTGTTACTTTTGGAACAGAAATCGCACCACAACTCTTTCTAGCTCTTTCTCCCCCTTTTCTCTCTCTCTCTCTCATTCTTTCTAGCTCTTTCTCCCAGTTTTTCTTTCACTAAATCCCCCCCTCTCTCTCTCTCTCTCTCTCTTGCACTTTCTCCCCTTTTCTCTCTGTTCTACTCCCTCTCTCATTCTATTTCTCTTTGTTTCTTACTCTTTCATTTCTCTCTCTTTTTCTCTTTCTAGTTCTTTCTCCCCGTGTCTGTCTCCCTCTCTCTCACTAGCTCTTTCTACTCATTTCTCTCTCTCTCTCTCTCTCTCTCTCTCTCTCTCTCTCTCTCTCTCTAGCACTTTCTCCCCATTTCTCCTCTGTCCACTTCCTCCCTCTTTCTAGCTATTTCTCTCTGTTTCTTATTCTTTCACTTTCTCTCACTCTTTCTCTCTTTCTAGTTTTTTTTTCTCTCCGCTACTCTCTCTCTCTCTCTCTCTCTAGCTCTTTCTTCCCATTTCTCTCACTTTCTCTCGAAATTTCTCCCTATTTCTCTCTGTTTCACTCCCTCTCTCTTTCTCGCTATTTCTCTGTTTATCTTTCACTTTCTCTCTCTTTCTCTCTTTCTCTCTAGCTCTTTCTCCTCGTTTACTCTATCGCGTTCTCTCTCTCTTTCTTTTTTTCTCTCCGTTTCTCTCTCTTTTACACATATTCTCTCTCTCTCTCTCTCTCTCTCTCTCTCTCTCTCTCTTTCTCAACATTTCTCTCTGTTCTTACTCTCTCTCTCTCTCTTTCTAGCACGTCTCGCTTTCTCGCTTTCTCTTCAATACCTCTCTGTCTAGCTCTTTCTCCCCGTTCCTCTCACTTACACTCTCTCCCTAGCTCTTTCGCTTGGTTTCTTTCTCTTACTTTCTCTCTCTCTCTCTCTCTCTCTCTCTCTCTCTCTCTCTCTCTAGCACTTTCTCCCCGTTTTCTCTCTGTTCTACTGTCTCTCTTTTCTAGCTCTCTCTCTCCCTGTTTCTCACTCTTTCTAGATCTTTCTCTCCGTTTCTCTCTCCCTCTCTCTCTCCCTCCTCTCTCTCTCTCTCTCTCTCTAGCATTTTCTATCCGTTTCTCTGTTCCACTCTCTCTCACTCTTTTTCTAGCTCTTTCTCCTTGTTTCTCTCTCTTTCACTATCTATCTCTCTTTCTTGCTATTTCTCCCCGTTTCTCTCTCTTTCACTTTCACTCTCTCTGTCTCTCCCTCTCTTTCTATCTCTTTCTATCTCTTTCTACCTGTTTCTCGCTTTTTCACTTTTTCTCTCTAGCTCTTTCTGCTCATTTTTCTCTCGATATCTCTTTTTCTTTCTCTGTTTGTCCCTTTCTCTCTCTCTCTCTCTCTCTCTCGATATCTCTCTCTCTCTCGATATCTCTTTTTCTTTCTCTGTTTGTCCCTTTCTCTCTCTCTCTCTCTATCTCTCTCTCTCTCTATCTCTCTCTCTCGATATCTATTTTTCTTTCTCTGTTTGTCCCTTTCTCTCTCTCTCTCTCTGTCGATATCTCTCTCGATATCTCTCTCTCTCTCGATATCTCTTTTTCTTTCTCTGTTTGTCCCTTTCTCTCTCTCTCTCTCTATCTCTCTCTCTCTCTCTCTCTCGATATCTATTTTTTTTTTGTTTTCTGTCTCTCTCTCTCTCTCTCTCTCTCTCTCGATATCTCTCTCTCTCGATATCTCTTTTTCTTTCTCTGTTTGTCCCTTTCTCTCTCTCTCTCTCTCTCTCTCTATCTCTCTCTCGATATCTCTGAACATTGAAGTCAACACTTAGAGGCGACAGTCTGTTTCATGCTAGACGCAATCGTCAGGCCACGAGTTTTGTTTATTTTTTCTCGGCTATTTATATATACGGGTAAGTGGTGCATTGTGGTTAGTCTATTTTGGCGGTTGTTATTGTTTATATCGTTTATTTAATAGTTTTGTTTTGGCTTGTAAAGGTAATTAAAGCTTTTATTCAATTTTGGGATTGATTGTTATAGTTTATTCTAACTATTATTTTGGCGGGAGCAGTTTTGATTCGTTTATTACTTCATGTATTTATTTGGATTGATAATCTTTATTTGTTTTTTCTAACGGTTAATTTATCGGGATCGGTTTGTTAGTTTGTTTTTTAATTATTTATTTGGATTAATTTAGATTTAACATAGCTATAATTGTTATATAACGATAAAAAAATACTACGACACTTAAAAATCGAAAACCGAAAAGAGTAAATAAAAATATACAGTATAATAAATAAATAATAAACAAACAAGTAAGATAAATTAATCTAAATTTAGCTACGAATTAAAGATGCCAAAATGAAGTAAGAAAATTTAAATATTTGGAAAATATTTTAATAGAAGACGGAAATTATGACACCTAAATCTGAAGAAGTATTGAAATGGCAAAAGATACCTAAAAAAAACGTATTAATAAACAGGAAAATGGCATTAGAAACAACGAAGAGAATACTAAACTGCTATGTAATATCAGTCCTCTTACATAACAATGCTGGACTGTTTCCTCACAGATGAAGAAGAGACTTGATGCAAGAGGAATATTAGGATACTAAGAATACCATGAATGGATCATCAAGGCAACGAGAAAGGCTTAAGAACAATGGAGACAAAAATATGCTTCGACTTAGAATCTCTATCTATAAAACGCAGGATGTGTGTGTGTGTGTGTGTGTGTGTGTGTGTGTGTGTGTGTGTGTGTGTGACGAATGCAACGGCCGCAATTTTTGACGGATTTGCACCAAAAGTGACATGCACATGCTCCAAGTTAGCGAGAAGGCCAAGACCGACTTTGCATTTTCCAACTCCCATCGATAGTGGAAATAATCGATTTTTTCATGCTTCTGGCTGCCCCGAATAGGCAGGAAGATTCTATTGGCCAGTGTGAGAGTCAACAGCTGACTGACATGAATGTTAACTAGCATGCTAGCATGCAAAAAAAATCGATAGCTGCATTCGTCACAAGTGGGAAAATTTTAAATCTGCATGACACTTTACTCCAATTGGCTCATTCGCTTGCTTAAACTCAACGTTGATTCGGATTCCGCAGAACTGCGTTGGGTGTGAAAAAAGTATTTGTTGTTAACATTCTTTTTCATTCGGTTTTTCCAGTTACGAGTCCTTTTTAAAGCTGATCGTTTTGTGTTCATTTTGTTTAGTTCTTTTTTTCGTAATAGATTTAATGTTTAGTATAGAGCTTAAAAAAATTCGCAGTGTGAGATAGGCAAGAAGTAAGGCATGTAGCAACATCAGCACGGCAAAGGGCACTCCTTTTTAAAGGCAAGGAAGGCAAAATATTTTAAGTCAAGTGATAGCGATTGCTGTATGAGTCGTACGATTTTTGAATCAAGCACGGGCAACGCCGGGCCATGCTGCTAGTCAGAAATAAAGATTTGATATTTCTACGGCACTTAATTGGTAACAGCTCGTTATTGTATCAGAGATGATATTCGATTTTCTTATAAGATTTACCAAGAAATCTACTCTGACCATCGCTGTTACAATAATGTGTATGTTGCTTCGCTTTTGTTTATTTGTTTAATGATAGTTGCAGTTGATCTTTTTGGTACATATAGTGAAGAAAGACGGTTTGGAGAAACTTGTTAATAATGAAGAAATCAATTTTATATATCTGTAAGCATCATGCGTATATTCTATGTTTTTTCAAAGCGTAGCTTAGTTGTGGCGCCAGACGGAAAGTATGAAACACCCGGTGAGGATCGAACTCAATACTCAGTCGTAATTGATCTAGTGAGACAATCTTGCTAACCATTACATCACGGAGAAGTACCCAAATGATTTTCTAAGAGTAACTTACCTCGAATATATGGGGCTTCCACGGAGGATCGAACTCACTATTCAGTCGTAATTGATGTAGCGATAAGAGCTTGCTAACTATAACACCACACTGAAGTACCCCAACTATGTGCATGCGTGTTTGAGAGAGAGAAAGAAAGAGAGTTTGTGTATGTGTTTGCGTGTGTATGTAAAACAGAAAGTGTATGGGTGCGTGTATGTGTGTGTGTCTGTGTTTCTATGTATGTGTGTGCATAAAAAAAGAAAGAAAATATCGGAAGCAAGCTAAATAAAACAACATCACGTGTGCTGAACCCGAAAGAAATGGCGATTCTCATAGAATGTAGCAGTAATGCTTGTCTAACAAAACATAGTCTGGCGGAGCCCGTTGCTCTTTAGGTTAGATTTGAATTCAAAATCTTCCTATTAGAACCTAGACTGGTTGCCAACTCAATAGTCGTGTTACACTTGCAATTTAAACCATGGCTTATATGATAAGTTGTAGATCCATACCTTTGAACGAAAGAAAAGATAACGACCTGGGTCGGAGCTCGAACTCGCCTCACCGATTTTTCTTTTTGTGTCGTTCAGCGTTACGCTAACAGCACATCCTCAGTCAATACATACAAACAAGTATTTCTAATAGTATAAATACAGATTGCGGCCAAGACACAAGTGAATTGAAGCAAAATTTGAAGAACTCATGTAAGAATTGTTGTTTAAGGAGGGGGGCCAGACAGTTTTCAAAATCTGTGTTTTTACATGAATTCAAATTATTCAATTATAGAGGAATAAATATTCAATTGTCAGAGATAGATAGATAGATAGATAGATAGATAGATAGATAGATAGATAGATAGATAGATAGAAACTTACCCAGAAAGAAAGAAAGAAAGAAAGAAAGAAAGAAAGAAAGAAAGAAAGAAAGAAAGCTAGCACTCGACGATGAGTGTTCAATCCTGATAGATAGATAGATAGATAGATAGATAGATAGAAACTTACCCAGAAAGAAAGAAAGAAAGAAATAAAGAAAGAAAGAAAGAAAGAAAACTAGCACTTGACGGTGAGTGTTCAATCGTGATAGATAGATAGATAGATAGATAGATAGATAGATAGATAGATAACCGCTACATTTCGAGCTATAAACGTACACAAGAATATGGTACAGCAATACAGGCAACTGAAAGGCAAGTTCGCATGAACATCTGATCACACTTCCTTAATTCTATTCACAGATTTGAGTCTATAAAACCGTTTTAATACTTTGCTCACACATCATAAATCAGCGTTTTCACTGAGCACAAAATTCAACAACACAGCGAAACACTCTTTCACCTCATAGCCACATCCAACCCTGGTCTCCATACATCCATGCCACAAGGTGGCATCGACTTGTAGATTACTCGAGCAAACACGAGGGAATAAAGAAATGAATTGGATGAATGAATGAATAAATAAATAACGAAATAAAATAAAAGAATGGATATATAAAATAACCACACCCTTTCTTCCTCATCTTTTTTTTCTTTCAATACAAAACAAACTTCTGTAAAGAAACAGAAAATGTGTTATGGACCAATGGCCTTCTCAGAGTTTGGCGAAGCGGTCCTGATCGATAATGTCATCGCCGAAAAATCGTTAATTTCAGTTCTAAGTTTGTTTTTTTATTTGTTTGTTTTGTTTTTTTCTTGTTTTTTTTTTGTTTTTGTTTTGTTTTGTTTTTTTACGAGGAAAGCGAACCTAACCGACCAGCAGTACGTCTGTCTGCCAATTCAAGCATATCATTAGTACTGAACACGAGTTTCATCTTAATTATCATAACGACGCCACCAGTGACATGACATATAATCGAAGCTGCAGTTACCTCCCTTGTTTGTAGCTCTTCCCTTTGAATCATTATGATCATAGTTTCTGCTTTCTCTCTTTCTTTTTTATTTCAGAAATTTTCTTTACAGCAGTTTAGCCCATATATTCTTTTGTTTTTGTATGGATTATTCTATTATTATTATTATTATTATTATTATTATTATTATTATTAAATGAGAGATAAACACACCAACAAAATGTCGCTAGAGGTACAAATATAGAAAGTTCAATAAAAAAAATCATTAGACCCAATCTGATAAAAGTATAACCGGTACATGCACCACAGCCAAATGTACGCCATAGAATAACATATTTTGATAACAACAAGGTATCCTTCCATTTAGGAATGCGTTCAGATTAAGTAACCTTTTCTGATGAGACCGTATCGGATTGAAGGCGTTCCAATTATCTAGATTTTACTCCCAAGTCGCCTTAGCTGCCTCTTCCTTTAAACCTAAACAAATCTCTACTTTATGCTCCCTTATTATTATTATTATTATTATTATTATTATTATTAAGTCCTGTTCAAATCTTAGATGTTTCGGTCGGCAATGATAGTTATCTATCAGCTCCTACCTGCAACTTAGAGATGCAACACCTTCTTCAGCATATGACTTGTGGCAAGCGGCGTTTCCTCCCACGCAATCACAATGGTGGCTTTCGAGACAAAGGACGCCAGCTAAAAATGGGACAACTTCAGCTACGGCTGAGTACATCTCTCTGGTTTGCCATGACAAGGTCTAAGTACCTCAATATTTTCGCCTTCATGATGTTCTTATCCCAAGTTACCGCAACATCAGCATAATTTTAACATATTTTAAATACCATTTCTCTTCAGGAAGTAGGCAATCACGTCTCTCTACAAATTGCAATGTCACTGGTCATGACCTGGCATCTCCGCTTCTGTCACTTTCTAACAGCCGTAGTGTAGCCTCCCTATGACCTTTCTATAAATATCTTCATGGTAACTGTTCAGAGGAACCTTCCTCTATGATACCTAGACTGAATTTAAGTGCAATACTAGATTGGCAGTATTATTAGGTTGGTGCAAAAATAATGACGTAAGAATGTCGTTTTTGACGTTAAAAATA